CAGTCCCCACTCCCCTCCCCAAGTCTCTCCCCACCCCCTTACCTCTGGGATGTGCATGTTGTTCCGCCTCCACCTTGTTCCCAAAGGACGGATCCGGCACCTCCTGCCAGCCTCTGGCCTCCTGCCCCGCATGGCCTGGGAAAGGGTCAGGTGGGCGCTTGGAGGCTGGGCTGCCCACTGTCCCCTGGACCTCAGGGCTGCTTGCCCTCTTGAGAGCCCGAAGTGGGACTGCCGTGCTCTCTTCTCCAGTGCAGCCGCCGGGGCACCCAAACTGCTCCGAGTGTCGCGTGAGCCATGTCTTCTTCAGTTTGGTGTGATGGCTGGGGGGGCAGGCTCTGGGGGCGGCAGTCTTGTTCACGTCCTCGCTGGAGTCACTGGGTCCACTGGTGCCCACATCCACATCCTCCTGGCACTTCCCACAAGGACTAAGACCTTCATCCCTAGCAGGTGGGTGGGAGGAACAGCAACCCACCTGGGTGACAGGAGGCCCGGGAGAGGGGCACCGCGGTGTGCTTGATGGCCCCAGTTGGTACCCGGGGCTTCCACTCCCTGGTACAGCCCAGAAGTTGCCAAGAGTATGGACCAGGCCTGGGGGACAAGTTCCCCAGGGGGCCCGAGGAACAGTGTCTGGGTGCCCCAGGAGAAGTGGGCAAAGATTTGCATGCCTGCCAACTCCTGCCTCTGCATCCCTCTGGTGGAATGAGGGGCGTTCTATGCCTCCAGTTCGCTGGAGATGCCCACTGGGGGCTAAGCCCAACAACCCAGGTTCCGCAGATGCCAAAGGCTCCTTTGCCAACCTGAGAATGCTCGGATCCTTGTGGTAAAAGCCCTAAAGAGAGGAGAAAGGGTTAAGCTAGTGCTGTCTTTGACTCTGGGGCTCAGAACCTGCAGAACTGATGGTCACGGGTGGGGGTGTGTGGGGGGGGGTTGGGGGGTTACACCCTGTGGCCTTAAACACTGACGACTCTGCCCACGTAGCGGTGAGCCAGAGCCTTCCTCCCCAGCATCACGTGAACCTCCCCTGGTCGGTGGCTAGATAGCGATGCCTGGCACAGCCTGAGGAACTCCAGGTTCTGGTTAGATCGCCTGATGCCCTGGACCGTACTGCTTTTAAAATACTTCTCATCTCTAGGCGTGGGGGCTCCCTGTGGGAGAATCACCCTGGGCACAGACATCCCTCCCACTCCTGAACAGAGGGCCTGGTCTGCCCTCCCAGGAGACAAGATCCCAGATCCCAGTTTCCAGGTTCTTGTTCTGGGTGGACACTGGGTGAGTCACTCTCTGGAATGCCCCAGGCTGGGAAGACAGCATGGCTCTGAAGCAGAGCTGCTTAGGGCTGCCTTCTCTTTTCATCACAGTGGAGGGCTGAGTGGTGTGCCCTTGGCAGGGCCAAGAGCTATTCTGTGTGGCCTGGGCCCCAGGTACCCTCTCTTCTCCCAACACTCACCTTGTTGCCTAAGCTAAAGGCCGAGGGCATTTTGGGCTGCCCCCCTGAGTACACCCAGGGGTGTGGGGCCAAGGGCCAGTCACACGGACGCTCTGGAGGCAGGCTGGACACTAGATACGGTGGCAGGCAGGTGGGCACCCAGAAAGGAGCTCGTTCCAGGATCTTGGTCTCCAGAAGGAAAGGGCAGTGCAAGGGCCGGAAGGCCACAGGATCGCTCTTGGGATGGCCACCGCTGTGCTCAGGAATTAGAGGGCCATAGCGAGGTGGGCACGCCGACCCACAGAACGCTAGTGGATGGGTAAGCATCGCCTCCTTCCAGCGCAGACCCTCCTTGCCGCCCAGCCAGCCGGCCTTTCTTTCTCCATTCCGGGGTCCTTCACCCTCTACCAGTGGGAGCACATCCTTGGGGCTCTGGGAAAAGCCAGAGGGAAGCCAGGAGTCTGGGGTGCTCAGGACACCCCTCCAGAAGGGCGCAGGCTCTCCCAGGCACAGCGCCCCGCGGTGTAGGCCATCTTCCAGCGGGATCTCCCGCTCCTGTCCCAGGATGCCATTCTCAGAGGCTGTCTTCTCCCAGATCGGGGTGTCCTTCAGGAAGCTGGGCGTACTCTCCATCACTCTCCTGCCCTCATGGGGCTCTCCCAGAGCGGGTCCCTGGGGCATAACCACCATTGCGTGAGTTTTCTGGGCACGTGGCTCAAGGACCCTACTGCCTGGTACAGAGTGGGCACCGCCCTGGCATCACCGAGGCGGCTCAAACCAGTAAGGCAAGGGTCACCCACAGCTGGGCTTTCTGCTGCCTGCCCACAAGTGACCCATATGACCTGCCTCAGAGTGGGAGGTCACCCCTTCCCTGAAACGTCTGGCCCACCGAGGCCAGCATCCCGCAGCAGAGGCTGCCATGTCTAGAATGCCACCCCCACCCCCCTGACCTAGCAGGCCCATGCTGAGGCACATGGGTAGAACCCAAAAGGTGAGCTTGTTGGAAGGAAGGCACAGCACTGGCGGGTAAGGCTGGATCCTGGCCCTGACCCAGTCACCCACTGTTTGACCTCGGGCAAGTATGCTACTCCTCCAGGCCTCAGCGTCCCCTTGTAGAAAAGTGGGGCTGGAAACTGGCAGGTTTGGAGGCCTCTCCCCACCCTGCAGTCTGTAGTTTTGGGGGTACTGCTTGCCCACCCCACCCCTCTGCCCCACCCAGGCTTGCAGGAGTGGGAAGAACAGGCAGGGCAGGCTGGAGTCGCTGGGGAGAGTTGCCAGCCAGCGTGGCTGGCTGCTAAATCTCTCCACACCTGGTCAGCCCAGAGCTGCCACCTTCAAGGGCTCTACAGTTTCTTGGCTCCTGACACGGAGTCCCGGCACTTGTGCCACTTGTGTCTGGGACTGGGATCTCCACCACTCCCGGGGAAGACGGGAGCCAGCACAGGAGAGGGGTTAAGAGGCCTCAGCTCGGAGGGTCAAGCTGTCGGGTCCAGCCAGCCGCCGTGCCAGAGCCACCGGCAGCCGCTGGTAACGCAGCCTGTCGAGGGGGAGGGAAGGAGGCGGGGAAAGCAGGCTGGGCCGCAGAGAGGCAGAGGAGGGAAAATTGAACGTGCGTGCAAAGGACCGGGATGACAGGTGGCACCGAGCGCGGCAGAGCTCTCGCAGCTCAACCCCCTGCCAGCGCAGCCCCCGAGGCTTCTGGGTGAAGCCCCAGAAGTGAAGTGGGGGAGCCGTGACAAAAAGAGCGCTTGGGTTTTCTGGGGTCACCGCTCCCGACGTGGTCCAACCCATCGGGCATCCCAACGTTCAGATCCAGCCCAGGCGAGCATGGAGAACTCACTGTCCACGCAGCGCAGCGCGGGCAGTGCCCAGAAACGACCCCTGCTGGAGTCCCCAGAAGGCGCGGCCCGGGCGCCCCCTCTCGGCGCTTACCTGGGCTTCACGGGCCGGGCGCGGGGCGGGCGGCGGCGGTCGTCGTGGCCAGCGCCGGGTGCCTGCTCCCCATGGGCCGGCTCCGGGGCCTCCCGGTCGGCGGGCGACGGCTCGTTCTCCCGGTCTCTCTGCTCAGCGCGCTGGCGCTCTCTTTCCCCCGGGGCGGCGGGGGCGCTCTAGGGCCGCAGGTTGGAGGGGTCGGACTCCGGGATCTGCAGGATGCGGCACACGGCGCGGATCGGCCGCACCAGCTTCTGGGCCGAGGCCGTGGGCTGCGCCATGGGACGCCGAGACTCCGTGCTGCGCCGCGGGGAGGGCCGGGCCGGGGTTAGGGAGCGGGTGCCCCCGGAGGGAGAGAGAGAGCCGGGCCGGGGGGAACGCGCGCCCCGGATCGGAGATGGCCAAGTGGGGGGGATGGCCGAGGGGCCGGGGGAGGGGGTCGAGCCTGAAAAGGGGGCCGATCCCAGGACCCAGAGAGAGGCACCAGCGAGGGCGCAGCGCGGCGCAGCGCGGCTAATGGAGGGAGAGCGCAGCGGAGAGCGCAGCAGGACCTCTGATCGCCATCGCCAGACGCGCAACTGAGAGTGGGGAAGCTGCTTCGCCGGTTTCCTCCTCCAGCACCCTGCGGGAAACAGGAGCCCGTGATTCGGCGGCCCCGCCTGGGCCTGCCCCCTCCAGGGCCCCGGGGGCTTCCGCCAACGCCCCGGCGATGCCACCGGCTGCGCACGGGGAGAATGAGCCCTTTGTTCCCCCCTCCCCCCCGCGGCACCCGGGCGCCTGCCGAGAGAGGCTCCCCCGGGGCAGCGTGCCAGCTTCCCAGCCGCCCCACCCTCCCGTGGGCCCGGCCCCGGAGCCTGGCAGGCGGGCAGCACCCCCACTATAGGTGCCAAACCCGGGAACTGGAGCAAAGGGCGGGAGGGGCCGGACCAGGCCACTGTGGGGCGGGGTGCCCCCCGGGGTGCTAGGGTGGGGTGGCTGGGAGGGGGTAGTGCCAGAGCTGGCAGGGGCAGTCGGGTTCTCACGGGTCAGTGATGGGCGCTCTGACCCACGCCAGCCGGCCCTGTGCCTGCTGGACCACTGCTTCTGGTCCTCTCCAACATTGGCACATGAGCACACTTGGAGGGCCAAGTCTGTACTGTTTGGTCTTCACCTGGCCAAGCTACTCCTCACTATACCCCACCCAAGCCCCCTCCCAGGGCCTGATGGCACCGTGTCCTGCATCAGCCTTCTGGGAGGGCCCAAGTCTGTCTCTGCTCTAAGCGCCTTGGTCTCACCAAGGGTCCAGAGAGGAGGGGGAGCCAGACGCCCTCCACCACCTGTTCGCCCAGCGTTGGGGGGGGGGGAGGGGGGTCTTCCCCATTCCGGGTGTCTAGTGCTTCCAGACCCAGCCCTGGAGAGGAGCCCATGGGAGTGGCTCCTGGGAGGGAGCAGAGAGGAGGAGAGGAAATGGGAAAGCAGGGCACCCTCCACCCGAGGAAGCATCCCGGCTCCTCTGCGGGGGTGGTTCCAGAGCACAGACACAAACAGACAGATTCAAACACACACAGACAGATTCAGACACACACAGAAACCCACACGCCCAACGGGCTCTTCCCTTCCCCTCCGGCACCCACCTCCCACCGGAGACTCCTCTGCCTCCTTGTGGAAGCCATCCTGGGTCTGCCTTCACCCAGCCTGGGACAGGCACACCACCCCACCCACCCCGCCCCCTCTTGGAGATGAGTTCTCCAAGGCCTCCAGCCTGGTCCCAGGTCACACCACCGTCCCTGGAGAGGGAAACCATCAAGAGCCAAACAGCCAACTGGGAAGGAACCTGCCAGGAGACCAGAAGGGTTCGGGATCCTCCTGTCCTCCGTCAAGAGGGGGTACCGTGGCTAGGGCCTATGGCCGCTTCACCCAGCGCCTTGCCTACCCCCAGGGGCCAGCTTCATGGGGGGCAGGCTGGTAGGGGTTGTTTACATGACTGAGTTATTAACACTCCCTTCCAGCCTCAGCTCCCCTGAGGGGTGACCCAGACCTGGAGGGATGGAGGAATGATTGTGGAGGGTCTAACCCAGCCCCCAGTCCCCCATTTCCAGACTAGCTTTAGGGTGCGGATGGTGGGCTGGGTGTGCCTGTGGTCCTGCATCTGTGTTCTCTGGCAGCCAAAGCTTGTGGGAGAGCCCAGGGGGTGATTCCTGCGGCTTGGGGCCTGGAAGAGGCTGGGCAAGGCAGGGTGGGGGCCCGGGCCATCAGGCCCCTGAGGGCTTGTTCTGTCAGCCCTGAAAGGTTGGGGACTGTCCCAGGAGAGCAGCAGAGACAGCTCCCCACCCATGTCTGTTTTGTCCGGTCCCAGCCTCTGGACTAGACCAGAACTCTCAGGACAGACTCCTGACATACCCAGGGTGTCATGGGAGGAGTCAGGCCGGGGAAGGAAGCCCCTCTCCACCCTCCACCAGCTCCCCATTCTGCTCCACAGGCCCACAGAGCCCTTGGAGCGGGCTGTTCTGTGCCCGAGGACCCAGCAAGCTGAGGAGACACACAAAAGACACAAACAGAGAAAAAGCCACACAACGCGTGGACGCAAGACTGGACTGGTGGATAAAGGCAAGCTGAATAGCACCCCCAGAGGCTCGTGGGCCCACCCAGCCCCACGCCGACCCCTCTCGCACCCACACACACACCCTGCCTCTCGCATTCTTGCTGACAAGCTGGCTCTCACCAGCCAGCTGCCCTCACCCTGTCCCCAGAGACCCTTACCTGGGCAAGCACAGTGCCCCTCTGGTGGAGCAGCCCCCTGCCCAGGGAAGGCAGCAGGCGGGGGCGGGGAAGGAGCCCCGGAGAGTCAGGCCAAGCTGCCACTAATCCGGGCGGGGAGAGGGGGGGCACCCACGTCAGAGCGGGGACTGCCGGGTGGAGGGCATCTGAGGACATCCCCTCCCACACACGCGGCCGTCTGGGCACCTAGCCCTACTTCCCCAGCCCCTACATCCTTCAGACAGCTGAGGCTGGCCTCCCCCACCCCGCCCCCTACCCTTGTGGCAAGGACTGGGGGTGGGGGCTGGGGGAGGGGGAATACCAGGCAAATTCTCCCAGGACCTGGAGGAGGAGAGAGGAAGGGAAGTGAGGAGATGCTTTTGGAGCCAGGAGGAAGCTCTCAGTGGCCGCCTCCTCCCCCCTCCCCTCTCACCCACCTACCCACATCCCTGAACTAATTCCTCTTCTCAGTCCCCCTGTCCCCAACACCTCCCACCCCCCACCCCAGGGCTCTCCTGAGCAACCCAAGCCTGGTGGAGAAACTCCCTCACTCTGCTCAGTCTCGACCTGTGCCTAGCAACCCCTGGCCTCAGCGCTCCCAAGCCATGGGCCTCAGCCTCCTGCCCATCCAGTGGACTTCCCAGTCCCTGATGTTGGGCTGCTGGACCAGGAAGGGGGGAGCCCCGGTGCTCATCTCCTCCACCCCTTCAAGGGTGGGGCAGTGTCGGCCAGAACTCCCCAACTCAGCCTGGGCTGTGTTGAAACAAGGGACTAACGGCTCCACAGACAGGAGAATGGCAGTTAAAAATACAGCAGTGCCAGAGGCTGCAGGGAAGGGGACCAGCCCATGGGACCACAGGCCAAGAGGCCAGTGGTGAAGAGGGACAGAGAGGAGCCACTGAAAGTCAGGCCACGTAGAGGCACGCGGTCCTAGGGGCTGGCCTAGCGTACCTCATCTACCTACCTGGTGCCCTGCTCAGAGCCTGGCACTCTGTTCTCAGCCACTTGGAACAGAAGCCCAGCCTTTAGGGCAGGCTTGCCTTCCCCTAGGGGCCAGGACAGAAGGATGGGGAGCAGCCCCATTAGAGGGGATGGTACTGGACAGAGGGCGTCTGGGTGATTTGAGGGGTAGTGCAGACTCAGGGCAGGCCTCCCCATACCAGTGCCCCAGCCTCAGCACCACATTCGGGGCCGGAAATGCCCCAGGACTTGGAGTTCTCCAGGGTCCTATCCCCTGGCTCCAGCATACCTCAGCAGGACCCATGCAATCAAGAAGCCATTCCCCTAACCCGGCTCTTTAAGGGTCTCTCCAAGCGCCCAGGAAACAAAGGAGATGGCCTGCGTCCTCATGGACTCTACGTGCACTCGATGCTTCTGCTCTTTTACCAGCAAACATTGGCCAAGGCCTCCTATGTGTCAAGCCATGTACTGGGCCTTTGGGGTGACTCTCAGGGCAGTGGGGCTTGGTGACAAGTGGTTACAGGTGCTTCCAACCCCACCCTGCAGCAGCCCGGGGAGCCTCAAGGAGGAGATGATGCAGGAGCCCAGAAATGGCTTCTTAGTCACACACGCATGACAATGTTTCATTTTGGCTAGTCTGGATACAAAGGTGAATAAATGCAAGGCATTTTTGTGATGCCACAGAGAGAGAAAAAAATGACGATTGCTCAAGAGGTGAGGGGGAGAAGGCACTGAGGGCTTCCTGGGGGAGGTGATGTCTGAGTGGGGTTCAGAGGGCCTAGGAATGGGACAGGGGGTTGGTGGGAGAAGAGCATGTCAAGGGAACAGCATGAATGGGCTGCCTGGAGTCATGGAACAGTCTGACTGATGAGCTGGGGAAGCTGCCCAGGGACCCACTGGGGAAGGGAGGGGTGGACCATGGTCACACCCACAGTCCATAGCGTCTTATGCCCAGAACAGGGTGAAACAGCCAGAGCTTGAACCTTTGGAGTTGAGGAGGGGTTGGTGAATCAGGGGAGCCTTCTAGGGGAAAGCAGATCCTGAAGGAAGGGCCTGACAGGCTGACAAGGACAGACTGGAAGTCAGGAGAGCCACAGCTCGAGCCGGGGCGGGAGGCTGGCACCGGGGTGTATGATGTACTGAGGAGACAGGCAGGAGGAGCAAGGCTCAAGGCAGGAGCTGAGGGGCAGCGGGGGTAGGAAAGAGCCTGGGATGTGGGCAAAGCATCATATTGCAAGCATAATCCCCACACTGAGGAGTGAGCAGAGGCAGAGTTGCAGCCCTTGTGACAGTCCCTCAGCACCCCACTTCAGCCCTCCCCCCAACTTTCTCTCCATGCTTTTGTTTCATCACATGCTCCTCTGTCCTGTCCCCCCTGCTCGGGAGACAGAAGCCTGCAGCTTCTGGCAGCAGGCTTCAGAAGACAGAGCCCACCCACAGGCAGCATTCCAGGACAAGGGCTCTACCTCTTGCCTCAGTTTCGCCATCTGTAAGATGGGCGCAACGCCCCTACCTGACCACTTGTCAGGGAGGACAGAGGAATCATCTCTGACAGGGGCCCACTCTAAGGTCAGGCACACACGCCGTGTTTGATCCTTGCTGGTCTCCTCCGTGCCTTTCAGGCAAGACTTGTCTCCTTTCCCCTGGTTCGAAGCCCCATTCCACCACTTACTTGGGCAAATGACGTATCATCTCCTTCCCTATTTTCCTGTTTGTAAAATGGAGACAATAATCATCAGGAGACTACTGTGCGGCTAAGTAGACGCAGCCAGAGGCACAGAGCAGCATCTCCTGCTCAAGGCTGTCCCATTCCTGGACTTTGCATCCTTGATCTCACTACGAGCCTAACACCTGCTAGATGCTCATGAGAGATTTATTTTTTAATACATAAATGAGGAGATAAGGCAACACCACAAGGCCAGGGGACACCAGGGAGGAAGTCGTTGAGCAGTTGAGCACCAACGTGTGAGAAGCTAAACCACCCTGGCAGATTAAGAGCCTCCCCCAAGTAAAGCCTGGATAATCCCCACACTGGGAGTTAATCCACACCCCTCGGGCCACTCCAGGCTACACTCTCTCCTCCCATCCAGTGCTCTCCCAGGAAAGGAGGAGCAGACACAGGGCTGGGGGAGGAGAAGGGCCCTGGGACACTGGGCCAGACCAGCATCCAGGCACACAAGCGGGCGGAGCCCGCCCAGGCAAAGAGCCTGGGTCTCAGAACAGAGGCCATACCGTGGATGGGACAGGCTGCGGAGCTACCACCTGAGCAGCAGGATGGGTCCTTGGAGGCTGGGCCAGAGCTCTGCAACATCCCTCCAGCCAGCCAGCAGCCAGGCCCCTGCAGGCAGGGCTCTGGCCAACCTCCAAGCCCCGCCCTCCTTGACCTGGAAACTGGGGGCAGCCCAGAACCTGGCCGCTACTGCCCTCTCGTGGCCACTCCGCAGTGGTACGACATCCCCAGTATAAACCTGAGAGTTCAGGGTCTGGGGACCCCAAACGCCCCTGAAGTCCACCTCCCCAGACCTAACCCGTGCACAGCTCCAGTCACTTCCTCCTAGGGCTCCTCTCAGGGCTGGTCCCCCAGCTCTCACATTTATGCCCTTCAGAGGCCCCCAAGAGCTTATCATGACCGTTGCATTGCAACTATTTGTCAGTCAATGGCTGTCTCTCCCAGAAGATGGGGCTCATCTGGCATTTCTGTCTAAGCACATCCTAGACCAGATCTGGCCACTTAGTAACATGCAGTGTGAGGACTGAGGATACAAACCAGGATAAACAGAACACTTTGCTGTGTTTATTTATCAAAACTTGCACAAAATCTGAGCTCATTCACCGACACAAAACATACAACCCGATACACACACAACGCCTTGGAAAAGGCCATCAAGTACTTTGAAGGACAGGAAGGAATGAACTTGGGCATCTGATTTCATTTGCAAGGGTCTGGGGAGAGTTCTGACCCCAAACCTGGGAAGGTAGAGAGATGAGAAAGGCAATAAATAGAACCCTGGGCCCGCCTGCTTTGGTTTATTGTGGGTGCATCCCTGGGCACAGCCTGGAAGCACCTGCCCTGGTCCCTAACCAGCAGTGGAGCCAGGAGGGCAGGACCGGGCTGGTACAGGCAGTCAGATGTGCAGCCAGAGGTCCCCTCCACACAGTTCCCAATGCCCTGCATGGCACCAGGGGAGTGTGGGTCAGGCACTGCCGGCCCTAGCTGTCCATGTCGGAGGGTATGGTCTTTTTCCTCATCCGAACCTTCAGGGAGCGTGAGGTGCCCTGGGGGAGAGAGCAGACACACGTGAGCCGTGCGGGCTGAAGTCAGAGCAGCCCGCGTCCCTCCTGTCTCCCTTGTCACTGACCTCCCGTATCAAGGGTTTCCTCTTGACCACACGCAGGCTCTGGCTGCGGCTCAAAGGCTTCTCTCGGGACCGGGCTGGTGGCTGAGGGACCGCCTCTGTATCTGACCAACACTCATCCTCGCTGTCAGTGTCCTGCAAACCCCCTGCCCGGTACCCTGTGTGCAGGAGAGAGCCCAGGGAGGCAAAGCTGGGCATGTGCCATCTGAAGGCTGGGGACCAGCCCACCTTCCTCTCGTCCCAGGAGAGCCACAGTTCACACAGGGAGCCACAGGGAGCTGCAGGCCTCTTGGCCCACTCACCGATGGGTGGCCTGCGGCGGGGTACCTGGTCCTCCAGGTAGAGTGGGTCCTGGTAGGTAGGGGCAGGGCCATCGGGAATGGCACGCAGGTCCTGCATGGAGAAGCTTCGCAGTCTTCCCGCCAGTGCCCCCTGACTCTGCAAGGGAGAAAGGGAGCCGCCGCATCACTGGGAGGGTCGGGGCCAGGGCAGCGGTCGAGAACCCGAGGCTGGCGTGTAGGGGACAATGAGGCAAGACCACAGGGCTGGAGGCAGCTCGGCACTTTCCAGCCCGGCCTCTGCAGCCCCAGTGGGAAACTGAGGCCCACGGGGCAGGAAGTCATTCAGCTGGTCCCAAGCCCAGCTCACTGCAGTCCCAGCTCCATGCCTCTGCCAACACCCCACCGCCACCTTTTGTCCCTGTTCCCTGACAGAGACAGCGGCTGTCTTCCAGCTTCCTGACAGAGGGGTGGAGGCTCTAGGGTAGGGGGGCAGGTGAGAGCTGGTGAGGCCTGGGCCCAGGACACCTTGGTGGCAGCCTGGACAGCAGCTGAAGCGGCAATGTTGAGGCCTCGCTTCCCAAAGCTGAGCACCGTCTCGTAGCTGCGCTCCTTGGCCTGCACGATGTAGGTGTCAATCTCCTGCAGACACAGGGGCGTAGAATTCAGCGACACAGGACTACAGGCCTAGAGAAGCCACCAGGTGCCACGTCTCCCAGCCCATCCACAGTACACCTGCAACCACACCAAAAACAGGGCTCCCTACTTGTCCCCAAATCCTCAACTCCCACATCTCAAGGCTGTTCCAGCCTCCCTCCATAAGCCCAGACAAACGTCCCAGTGGGTTTGCACACCCTTTGGGCACTCCCTTTTGGTATCCTCAGAAGAGGAAGGAAGCTAAGCCTGGCAGGTCTGCAGCTAAGATATCCCCAGTCCTTGGCTGGCTCCCTCCTGCCCTCCCCTGGGTACCTTCTCATGGCGGGACAAGGACGGGTGGACAAACTTGCGGTAGAGCAGGCTGGCCCCCTTGGTGTAGGGTGACAGCAGCCACAGCACGAAAGCCATCTTGATCTCATAGTAGAAAGGGAACCTGCCAGAGCGCAGAGGGGCAGGTCCGCCAGGGAGCCAGGCCGAGCTGAGCCACCCCTCCACAGCCCACAGCCCAGGGCCCATACCAGGAGATAAAGATGTCTGTGAAGGTCTCCACTGCCATGAAGATGGCAAAGACAATCCAGTACATCATCCACCGGACCTGGGTTGGGGGTGGGTGGCAGAACAGGTCAGAGGTCAGTCACTTAGCCTGCAAAGCCTACTCCCCTGTCCCTGGCTGACCCAGCCCAGAGATTCCAGAGAGCCTGTCCCACGGCATTCCCCTGGCATCTAGCTGGCCCTGCAGAGTTGCATCTGAGCAACTGCCACTCATTCCTGTACCCACCCCTGCTGGATTTCACCCTCAAGCTCCTGCACAGGAGCCCCCGTTGCCTGCTCCCCACTCAGAATATACCATCTGGTCAGAGCCCTGGAGAAGGAAGAGGTCAGCTTAGACCCACCTTGTCAAGTTCGACCTCACAAGCCCCCACACGTCTGTCATCAGACCCCACTTGAGGCAACCCTTCCGGCCCACTCCCCTGCACTCACATATTCACGAATATTCTTGGTCTTCACAGCCTTGTAGGAAGCATAAGCTGGGTACAGCATCCCAAACACCAGCCTGGAAGAGCAAGGGGGGAAGCAGAAAGGGGTATGCAGGGCCCTATCTCCACTCCCCTGCCCCCCTAAGTGGTAACCTCCCCCAAAGATTCCAGGTGGCAGTGCCTGCCTTGTTCTTCCCGCTTGGCTTGCACAACCTGTGCCTGAGTCAGTGCCCTGGAAGCTGCCTCCCCACCCTGCTGTTTACAAACATCCCAAGCCTGCCCAGGCCTGCACCCCTGGGTCCTGGGTGCATGATGGAGCGAAGCACACACAGCCACACAAGGAGGTGGGCGGGAGGCAAGCTTCTAAGCCGGTGAGAGCACCAGGCAGTCCCCTCCCAAAGACGTGCAATTAGGCTCGGGGCCACCAGACCTGGCATCGCCAGGCTGCAGACAGGGGTGTTTGAGCCAGGTGCTGGAATACTGAAAGGTAAAGAGTAGGACAGAGTGGGGAGGCTGCGGCCAGGGTAGTGAGTCACGTGACTGACAGATGGGAAGCAAGCACCTGGATTCTCCACCCACAACATGCCACAACACCATGTGTTTGCCAAGGGGCTGCCAACAGCCGGGCCGTGGTCCTCGACCCACGCACCTGTCTACGGTGTGTAAGTGCGTGTGTGAGGGAGGGGCCGCCACCAGTTTAGGAGGATTAGGGGGTGGGGAGACAAGCTGCCATGCTGCCTGCAGGCCTGAGGATCCGTTAACCCTTGCGAGGGGGTGGGGGGTGTTGGGCTGGAGAAGGTGCCAGGGAACTCAGAAAGCCTTTCCCACCACACGCTCCCAGCTCCCAACCGGACGGGGGGAAACACCCGGGAGTAGAGGGAGCAGGAGGGCGATCATACTCACACCACCAGGCGACAGATCATCCAGGACACCATCCTGCAGCCTAGGGGGCGAAGGGAGACCCCAGGAGGACTCCCAACGGGACGCTCACTCGAGGGCTAAAATGGGGCACCCAGCAGAGGCGCGGGACCACGGAGGGGCTGGGGCTGCCCACCGCCCGCTGCCTCCGCAGTGCGAGGAGCCCGAAGAGCCGGGCGGGGCGGCCGGGGCCGGGAGGCAGCCTAGAGAGCGGTACCGGCGGGCGCGCTCTCCCTCCCCGGCAGTTGCGGCTCGGACTCGCGCTTCCCGCCGAACCGGTGGGAGCCGGGCGTTCGGCCCTCGCCGCGGCGGCGCGGCAGGTCCCGGCCGGGGGGGCAGGTCGCTCTCTCGAGCGGGTCCCCGCGGTCCCAGGGCGCCCAGCAGCCGGCACCAGCCTCGGGGCGGAGTTTGCCACTCACTTGAAAGTTGCACGGAACTGGGCTCTGCCCAACCCCAGGGCTCGGGCGCTGTGCGCAGGCGCAGAGCGGGCCTGGAGGGGGCGGGGCGAGGTCAGCGAGGCGAGAGGCCGGTGCCTTAAAGGGGCGGTGCGCTCGGATTCCCCGGGGCCCGAACGCAAATGGGCGCCTGGCTGAAAGCTTGAGGGTGGGAAGCTGCTGCAAGAAGGTGGGACGGAGAAGGAGACAGAGAAAATTTGGGCTGCAGGGTTTTCGCGGCTCTTCACTGACATCCTCCTTGTTGCCTTGCTTTTCCTTTCTGTAAAATGGGAACCGGGCTTGAGATGGGAGGTCTCCTCCCTCCAGGCGCAGGCAAGAGCGGCAAGGAGGTTTACGGAGCGCCCCCATATCCCGTTTTATATCACTGATCAGCAGATCAGTTGGGGCCTCAAAGATCCTGAGTTGACTTGGAAGAAGTGCGGAGAAAGTGGGGAGAGGGAATCCGAGGGACCCCCTCCCACCCACCCTGGAGAGTAGGCTTCACTTTTGACGGATTTGGGAATAACTTTCCTGAGCTCCATGCCTGGGCAGGCTGGCCCTGAGCACTTGAGAGCTTCTGGGCAGAACCCCCAGCGTCCTATGCTTTCTTCCCCCCCCCCCCACTTGCTCCTGTGAGTGGAGAAATACAAATATCCCTGAAGGGGGTGGGGGGAAACAACAAATATCCCTGAGAGCTTAATAATATCAACAGTTGCCATTTGTAGTGAATTTTATGAGCAGGGTCTTGATCTTTACAGAGATCCTTTTGTACCAGTAAGGAAATATGCAGGGTGATGAAAGATATCTTGCAGAATGTCACCTGTTTGTTGCTGGATGGTGGAGAAGGTCTCCTTGAGTCAGCCTTCTGAGGGTGCCTTGGAAGGGAGACAGGCAGGAGAAGCTCCTCTGGGGGAGAGGTGTATACCTGGAGACTACAGAGAAGGCAAGCTTGCTGCTTCTATGGCTTTCCATGTGGGGCTTCATTCTTTGCACATTTGCTTACAGCCTCATTCCTTTGGAGATGGAGGGTACAGTGCACCTGTCCCAAGGGTCCCTCCTCCCTCACAGGCCTGGTTAAGAGGGACATCATTGCTGTCCAGAGCTGTGGGAGCGGGAAACTCAGGCAGTTATTACTTTTTATTAGAGCCATAGTTAGTTAACGCCCACCAGCTATCAACAGGATGGAAAGGTAATGATGGGGGCCAGGAGAGGAGGCTTCATGGGGTAAATAAACACATGTTGACTATATAGTCTTAATTATTATCATCAATTTTATTGGTATTGCTGGGTGTGAGAGCCAGTAGTGAAACTGCCCTACAGGAGAAACTCCCCGGAGGCCTAATGCTTCCCTCTCCCCTCCTCACCGCCTCCTCAAACTGGGCTGCCTCCCACCCTAATGGGAAGAACAAGAAAGACCAAGACTAGGATCCCTCAGGCAGGTCCAGTCACCTTCCCTTCCTGGACACAGACCTTGTAATTGAGATGAGAAGAATCCTTGTCTTCTCTGAGCAGAAGGATGTGACTGATTCAGCAGGGGGCCAGCTCTGGAGGGGGCACCGAGGGGGAAGGGACGGAAGGATGCCAGGGCTGGCTGTGGACAAGTGAGCCCGTGTCCCTTGGTGCCTGCTGTGAGCCACGTCCCCCCTCCACTGACCTCAGCGTCACAGGCCTCTGGCCCCATTTGCTGCGGAAGAGCTCGTGTGAGTTCACTCTAAGACCTCCCACTGCGACCTTCCTCAAGTGGAGAATGCAGTTCCCAGTGACTGTTCCCCTTGGGAAATCTAAGGGACGGGATGTCAGAGGTCTGTTTGCCAAGAGTGGGGCTCAGCACAGAGCGGCTTGAGGTGGGCAGCTGAGGGGTGTTACCTCCTCGTTTCTGCCACAGTGAGTGGACTCTGCCTCTCACGGCCTTTGGTCTTGAGCTGTTGACACAGTCACCCAGTAATACGAGGTTGCCAGGCAGTTCCCTAGACACGCGGGTGGCCCCCAGGGTAGGTGACCAGACTGGCCTGCAGTGCACTCCATTCCCAAGTGCAGAAAGCGGGGTATGCAGGGAAAGAAATGGCTCTGACCCTGGGAGAAGACCTGGGGGAGCAGAAGGCAGAGTGATGTTTATCTTTCTTCTGGGCAACAGAGTGCCAACGTGTCAGGGAGATTTAACCCGCTCACCCTGGCAACCTGTCCCTGGCATGTCACGAGGGCCCGTTTGCTACTGAAACTTGGGCCAGGCATCTCGAGGGCAGTATGGCAGAGTGACCCACGGGGCATCTGCTAAGCCAAGGGCACAGGAGATGCTTTGAGGAGGTGGAGACCCAGACCTCAGTGGGTTGTGGTGGGTGGTGGGCACCAGGTTGGCTGGGCATCTGAGGCTACAGATGCTCAGATTCAGGGGCTCTGAGACCAAGAAAGGGTTTAGAATCTCTTGTTCACAGCAGCCAGTCAAAGCTCAGCCCTCTCTGCTCCTCTCCCACAAAGTAGCCCACTGTGAGCACCTCTGTGTCATGCGGTCCTCAGCAGAAATCAGTTCTGTGCCAGACACACTATTCATTCCAAAGGCCTTCCGTATACGCATGTCATATTAGAGCCTGAAATCTCACAGTAACCCTGTTGGTAAGTACAAGGATTATCCACATTTTACGGGTGAGGAAACTCAGACACAAATGGACTAAGTGACATGATTGCAGTCTCCCTTTCAGAAAATGGCTGAATCCAGATTTGACAGAAGAGGTATTATTATCAGCTTGACAGAAGGAGGGAGACGCTGAGGCTTCGGAAAGTCAGGGGACTTGTTTGAAATCTCATACTGAGGACGGAGGGTGCAGCAATAGCAGACACTTGCCCTGCAGTGGGGTGGGGGAGGAAGCGGAGAGGGACTTGCCTCTGGTCTGTTCAGCTGGAACTGGCCTGACAGAGACAGACTCAGGGGACCTAAGACTGATCTCCAGGAAGGAGAACCTGGGCCATGAGTCAGCCCCAGGTGGTGCAGCCCAGTCACACTTGCCCTGCACCTGCCACCTGCGTGTCGTCACCGTGAACTTCTCACCCCAGCACAGCTGACCTTGGGGTGCCTACTCACACCTTACTCCTCAGTGGAAAGGGAGCCAGGAGAAAGAGCCTGAAGCTGGCACCAGACCCTGTGAGCAGCAAGGACGGATCACATAGTCCCGGCTCCACTTTTCATAAAACATCTGCCACTGATCATCACCTGAGAGCCTGCAAACAGGGCAGGAACTTTTATTTGAAGCAAGTAAGTCTCAGCATTGTGCCCCCCCCTCCACCACCACCAAGGGTCCCTTGTGTTCTGCCCTGAGACCCTCTCAGGCAGCCTGGGCCCAGGAAAGAGCCTCCCTGCCCACTGCTGTTCACTAGCCTCGCACCCCAGTGCTGGCTGTTGTCGCACACAGCAGAGGGCAGCAGAAGTCCGGCTCCCAGGGGCTCCTCCTGCACACCCCTCCTCCGTGGGCTTGTACTGGAAGACCGTGATCCTGGCCTGTGCCTCTGTGCATTGAGGAGGTGTCAGGGCCCCCAAGATCCTCTCCAGTCCACTTGCCCAGGTGCTTGCAGGACCCCCGGCTTGACCAGTTCTTGGACCCACCCAGAGAGCCAGACCAGTTCACAGCCCCCACCCTGAAGGCTGGCTGAACCATGGGGTAGCCTCAGAGGCAGTCTGGGGCAGCAACTGCAGCAGGAAAAGAAAAACCAAGAGGCTTTTGCTTGAGTGGGCTCCTGTCCACAGCTGAGCTGGATCCAGGATCAAAGAAGGAAATTGCAATGAGAACGAGACAGCTCTAGGAAGAAGCCAGGGTCTGCTGGGACTGTCGTCACTGCTTTGGGCAGAAGAGTTTGCCCCAGGAGGTCAAGCTGGTGGCCCATTCCCATCCTTATCAGCTGCAGGGGGGACACACTAGGGTAGCAGAGGAGGCCCTGTGGGGGAGGGGAGGGGCCCCCAGGCAGCTGAACCCGCATGTGTGCACGTGGAAATGGGGGTGAGACAGTGGTGTGAGCATGTGCCCACCAGCATCCACGTGTGCATGCAGAAGGAGCACGGCCTGAGCAGGTAGAGACACCTGGAGCACCAACAGGAGAGACCAGGGTCAGAAAGAGAAGTCAAGGTACAGGCGGGGAGCTTCAGTGTCCCTTGCCCTACACCCCTCCCTAGAGCCAGAGTATTCCAAGTCAGCAGAGCAAGGTGGGGAGGTGCTTACAGACAGGTACGGGTTGACGGGTGTCTACATCTAGGAGGGGCCCCGGAGCTGGGTTGCCAGGTATGTAGACAAGTGTTCATGCTGATTACAATGCTAAGAACCTGGGCTAGTCCACGGTGCGTGCCTGTGCCCACGGAGGTGCGCGTGAGGCCCAGGTGCAGGCTGGCTATGTGTGTCTTCACACGGGCACACGTGCTGCTCACACCCAGGCTCCCACCCGGCTTCCTCCGCAGCCCGCAGAACCCAGCGGCCTCGGCAGCCCTAGGCACTGAGATCCACCACCACGTGTCGGTACACGAGTGTCTGCCCCTTGAAGCTGGGTGCCAGGAGCAGCTGGGCATCCCCAGCGGGCATGTAGCAGAAAGCCCGAGGCGCCTGCACGGCCAGCTCCTGGAACCGGACAAACTTCTGTCGCCCCTCGTCCCACTGGTAGATCTGCGTGAAGGAGAAGTCGCTGCCCAGTGCCAGGTAGCGGTGGGCACCCACGAGGAAGGGCTGTAGGGCCAGGGAGCCCCGGGAGGGCAGGGCCTGCACCTCGGAGAAGCGGGCGCCCTCCCAGCGCAGGATCTTGGAGTCGCCGATGTAGCGACTGAGGCACAGGTAGCTGTCTCTACCGGCACGGAAATGTTTCACAGCCTGTGCGTCAGGCACCTGCGTCACCTCGCCCTGGGCCACAAACTGCTTCTGGGAGCGACTCCATTGATAGATGACCGGCGCCTGGGAACTGCTGGACACAATCAGCCGCGGCTTGCCCTCCCCATCCACAAACTCCAGGTCGGTGTCACGGTGCCAGGGGTGCAGTGCCTGGTGGGAGTAAAAGCCATTCTGGTGCCAGCGGTAGAGGCTGGTGGCGCCTGCCTTAGAACTGTCAGCCACAGCAAAATACCAGTCGCCTTCGATGCGGAAGGCCTCGAGGTCGTTGGGCTTGCGCACACGCTGGGGGTCGATGTCCTGCAGCTTGGTGAAGCGCGTGGTGTTGGGGTCCCAGTGGTAAATGTAAGAGCCGCCAAAGAGCTGGGCCACAACAACGTACAGCTGACTGTCCACCACCATCGGCTTGCAGTGCACCGCGGAGGGAGCTGTCGGGACGGACGGGGACAGCGTGAACTCCTGTCCCCTGCCGCAGGAAGGGGGTCAGGCCCGTCTCACCCCCGGCCAGGACCAAGGCTCCCTGCTACAGATCCCCATCTCCTCCGAAGTGCCTGTCATGCTCAATGCTTTCTCACAGCGTCACAGCTAATATCAGCACCCCCCTCCTGCCACCCTGCTCTCCAGCTTCAAGAATAAGCTGGTATTGAGCACAAAATAGGTGTCCCCAACAGTGACCCATGGACTCCGGGGTTGTCAGAAAAGTCATGAGGCATTTTTTGTTTTCTGTGCAAAAGTGGCTCATGATTTTTCCTACAACCCATTATTATGTTCCTGACTTTTTATTATTATGTGCTGTCACAGTACTAAGTGTAAACACATTGCTTCGATGAATCGTGCTGAAAAGGATCTAGTGTTTTTCTATTCTGGACACAGAGAAACTGAGGCTCGTGATCTGAGTTACTTGCCCAGAGCTACCCCAGAGCGAGCAAGTGGCCCAGCAGGGGAGGGTGGAAGAGATTGAGCTTTTCCACAGGTAGCTGATGGGACTTAGGTGTGCAAAATGACACCTGGGTGTTTGGGTGTGTGAATGTGAAAACCGCACCCAAGAGCTCCCCCTGATGAAAGGGCTTCTGTGTATGAGAGTCTGCACAGGTCTGCCTGGACTCGCAACCCAAAGCAGATGGGGCCACACATCTTACCGGACCTGGGGTCTCCAGCTGCCACCTCTCCTCTCCTGGGCAGCCCTGCTTCACCCCCGCTCCTCCTCCTGGGACCACACCTTCACTCCCAGGTAAGTGGACCTGAGCCTGCCCTGCCCATATGTTGAGGTCCCCAGCTCCGAAGCTGCCTCTCAGACGCCCCCCTCTTTCCTGCATGAGCACTTCAAACCCTGGTGGGTCAAAACGGACCTCCATGTCTACCTCCAGGCCCCAGGTATCCCTCCTCCTGCGCTGTCAATTTTAATTTGTGTTTTCACCCAGCTGCCCCTCCCCAACTCCATCCGCTCCCTCGTTCACCCATGGCTGATCAGCCCCCAAGTCCTGTTAAACCTCCTTTCTGTTTTCTAGTATAATTTGTGTAAACGTCGTGTCATTTCTTCCTTTAGCCAAGACAGGAGAGGTCTGCTGCACCATGTGGGTCACCTCCCCGGTGGGGGACCCAACTCATGATGCAGTGGCTGCAGGTAGCGTCATAGTGCTGTGCTTAACCCCTTGTGCCACCGGGGAGGCCCAAGATTTTCTATAATAACTTCAAGTTCTTTCATAGGTATCAGTCAGCTTAAATTTCCTGTTTCCTCTTGTGTCAGGGCGGGCCTCCTTTCCAGACAGATCCCTCCATGTTCCTACTGCCTCAGTGCAGGCTCCGACAGACCCCCCCAGCTTGGCTGCCCGTGTCTCGCCCAGGCCTGGACATCGTTCCCACTGAACAAAAACTCACGGAGACTTTTCTAAAACACAGACTGGGTCCCCTCACACACTCTGCACAGCGCCTCTCAGTGTCCTGGGCTTCCTCTCTCTTTGGTCTTGCGGCCACTCTCCACCTTGAACTTTATGTTGTCGTCGGACAATGCATATGCACACAGGTGCGTGACTGACACACTAATCTGTTGCACAGCTCCTTGACACCGTTCGCGCTATTCCTCCTGCTAGAACACCCTTCTCACATTTTTTTCCTCCAAGTTAAGTCTCCCTCAGCCTCTAAGGCTCAGTTCAGACTCTGTGGATTCCAAAGCGCGCTCACCGGCCACCCTATTTCCCCCTCCTTCGTTCACTATTTCCATCACTTCCGTCAGCCAGAGAACTGGACATCACCTCTGACTTCTTCCTCTCCCTGAGCCCTCAAGATTCAGTGCAGACACGCCCTTCACCAGGAAGCCTTCCTTGATTGCCCGAGTAGGTCTTCCCTTTGTGTCCTCAAAGCTTCGTGTTCACATTGCCCTCCCAGCACCTATTTTGTGGGTGTCATCTGTGGCTATGTCCGCCGCCTTTCAAAGACTGGAAAGCCCATGTCTCATCTATCCTTCTACCTATAGAGACACACAGAGTGGCTCAATGGGGCTCGTTGCACCCCCAGCCCCCGACCAGGGCCTCACCGTCAGGTGGGGTGCAGGTACCTGGGATCCGATCATAGTCTCGAAGCTGCCGTTCCACATAGTCCCACTTGAGGACAGTGCAGGCGCTGGCACCTGGCTGGGCCAGAGCCAGGTAGAGGTCGCTGGAGTAAAGGAAAGTGTCCGCCGACACGGCTGGGAAGGCCAGGGTCTGGTACAGCACGAAGTCTGCAAGGCCAAGAGTGTGTGTGGGGAGGAGAAAGGCCAGAGCTCTCCGGCTGCTAATGCTCAGCTTCTGAGGTTGAGGGTTCAGGGTGTGGGGGTTCAGGCCTAGCCCGAGGCCGGGCGCCTCCTACCCGTGGTGATGCAGTCGAACTCCCGCAGCGGCAAATCTTGCACCTTGTGCTCTTGGAAGCGGGGTGGGCTGGCACAGTAAATGGGGGCCACCGTGGTGTTGGTGTGTGCCAGCCATTCCACCAGCCACTTTACCTTGCAGTCACAGTTGAGCGAGTTGCCTCGCAAGTCCCTGGATCATGAGTGATAGAGGGTACCGGGAGGAAGAGGGGCCCAGTGCCCCTGCCCAGCCCCATCCCCAAGCCCCTACCCCGGCCCGCTGGGCTTGCAGAATAAGTGTGGTCAGGGCTGCTGCCTGCTCACACAGCATCTTTGTGGGTAGAGGCGGCCCTGGGGACACAGGCCTGGCAGGATCATGGACGCCGAGTTCCAGGCCCCTTGGCCAGGCGCCTTTTGCACTGCATAACCTGCCCATCTGCATGCTGCGTTCTGCTCTGGCCAAAGCTTCCCCCGCACGGGGCTTTACTTTTCTTGCATAAACACCCAGGACTAGGTCTCTACTACAGCAATACATGTAGATTCAACTCAAACACATGTATTTTATAGTAAATACATGTTGAAAAAAATATATATAATATGTTGGCCATTTTTAGAGGGTCCACAAATGCCTCGAGGAGCCCCCGCTTGAAAAAGGACCAATCTTGGAGTCCCCCAAACCCAAGCCTTCCAAGCCTCTCAAGACCCTGCTTTGTCTCAATTCCGGCTCCCACCACACTCATGCCCCTTTGTCTAAAGAGGTGGCCCCAGGTCTTACAAGTCACTCAGGATGTCCAGGGGCCGGAAGATGTCTCTAGGCAGGGTCTGCAGGTTATTGTTGGCCAGCGAGCTGCAAGAGAGATGCCCAGGTCACCTGAAGGTGGTGACTGAGGACAAAGGCCAGCGATGGGCTGTGCTCTAGGATGCCATGTTTAGGATATACTCACAGGTGTGTCAGAGACTTCAGCCCCCTGAAGGTAAACTTGGACAGTGCCCAAATGTCATTGTTCTCAATGAAGCTGGAGAAAACAAGAACTTGTCTCAGCTACCACTAGGCCCTGGCCCCCAGCAGCTACTTCCCACAGCCCATGGCCCTGAGCAGTTCCAGCCCAAGTCTGGTGACACTGAGCCCACAGTGACAGGGCGCCCAGGGGGGTGGCTAGGCAGGGGGGTGCATGGAATGACGCTCTGCTGGGCCCTCATGCCCCAGCCTCACTCATCCAACTGCCCCTCCCAGCCCACCGGGCCCTGGCTCAGGCCCCTCCTCCCTCCTGTTCCGTTCCCTTTCCTGCCCACACACAGGTACTGCAGGTGCGACAATCCCGTGAAGGCGTTGTCTCCAATCAGCGTAAACTTGTTGGAGTTGAGCAACCTGTGGAGGCAAAGATGGAATTAGACCTTCCAGGGTGTGCCCACTGCCTTACCCCTGGGATTCTGGGCTGCCCTCCCTCCCTAGCTCAGGACCCCAGCAGGGAGCCCCAGGTCAGGCAGGTGCCTGCCCATTCCAGTCCCAGAAGCCCCCAGGGTCCTGTTTGCTCCCATGTTAAGGAGTTAGGGAGCAGACTGTCCTGCCAAGCTGGGTCTTTCCCTACAGTGCACCCCTCTCCTTTTCCCCTCCCTGACACAAGGTCAGTGCTGCCTTTGAGAATAGCCCACAGTGAGAGGAGCTGGACTAACCAAAGTGTCCTCTGTCCCGTGCCTCAGTCTTCATACTCAAACAGCCCTTTTTAGAATTCTAGACCCTCCTGTCTCCCTTCCCTTTCAGCTCCACCCCCTTTCTTCAAAGCCTGATATGTGGGGTACCTGTCTCTGAGATGACCCTTCCCTTGACAGTGTCTACTCTGCAGTGCCTAAGTTACTGCACCCAGTTTCTTTGGGTCTCCTTCGAGGCAAATCTATTCCTAACCGAGTGCCAAAGACCCTCTTCTAGGCTTTTGCAAAGAAGACCCCTCTTTTCCCCAAATGCTGCTCTATGGTCATGCTGACTGCAGCTGCTCCACGGTGTGACTGTCCCATTGGCGTGGCAGAAAGGGACGCCTGCATCCCAACCTCCAGAGGTGGCCTCAGTTGCTCCCCCCCCAGGCCAAACTCCTCTCCCGCCCCTCCCGCCCTCCTGTGAGGGTGGCCCATACAAGAACTGCAGCAGTGGCAGGTGGGCGAAGGCTCCGTCCTGGATCTCTGAGAAGGCAGCGTTCACCAGCGTCCTGCAGGGGATACCCAAGTCAGCTCCGTGGGGAGTATGCAGGGTCAGCACTAGAGGCGCACGAGGTGGACAGGGCTGTGGCATCATTGCTCACTTGCCCTGGAAGCTGGAAACCCCTCCCCCCATTGGAGCTCCTGGGCCCTCACAGGGAGCAGCCTTTCCCCTCCCCCAACCTCACTACCTCCCTTCATCATCCAGCTCCTCTGATCTCCCAGAGCACTGATGGCCCCAGGCCCACTTCCCCCCTCAGCCAAAAGAAGTTTCCATTACCTACACCATGAGCCAAACACCCACAGGGTGCTGGGTGCTGAGAGGAGTGGAGCACTAGAAGGGTGTGTGTGTGTGTGTGTGGAATTAGCACCCTGTTCTCAAGGACCACACAACCCATCTCATCCCTGAGATCATTTCCTGCAAGTGACAGGCTGGCTGGCCCCAATGCAGAGGGCTGGCAAGACCAGGGGCAGGCACTGCCCCATGCCAGGGTGCTGTGTGGGTGTATGTCACTGCCCCTCCCCCCCTGCGGCCCTCCCTCCCATCACAAGGAGCCTTTCTGCCCTTGATGTGACATCACAGGCAGGGATCCACATGCTGGGGTAAACAACCCCCCTGCCCCCATCCAGAGGCCCGCACACAGTAGGTCTCATTGATGCTGCCGCTGATGATTCATTCTTGGCTATGAACTCCTCTTTCCCCAGCCATGGCTGCTGAGCCTGCATGAATGCAGAGCTCCCTTCCTGGCTGACACGCGGAATCTCCCGTTCTGAGGGTTGCCTGGAGAGTGCCTGGTCCCCATACTCTGAAAGGGGAAGCAGGGGTTCTTCCCACCCACTCCCACAGAGTGCCCTCCTACTTTCCACCCCTCCCCCCACCCCCCAGGCCAGGGCTGGGCACTCACAGAGAGATGACCTCCGAGGGCAGGTTCCTGGGCACCGCCTTAGAGTCCACACAGAAGGCGGTATCCCTGGTGCAGGAGCAGCTGGGTGGGCACGGGGGCGTCTTGGGAGGCCTCTTGGCACTGACTTGCAGCATTAAGCAGAAGCTCAGCATGGACAGCGCCAGCAGCCAGGGCCCAGAGCCGCGCCTGGCCCGCAGTGCCACCATGCTGCCTGCAAGCTCTCCCTGCCCCACCAGCCACGACCAACCGACCCCTGCCCCAACGCTCTCTGCCACCCCCTGCGGGTCGGCACCCCGGGCTAGGCTGCTGCTTGCTGCAGCAGCTAGGGCCCCGCTGCAGAGAGGCTGCAGAGAGCGGACTCCTCAGCCCTCAGGCGCCGGCTGCTGTCCCCTCCCCTGCTCGCTCGCTCCCGCGAGCCGGCTCAGAGATGCGCGGAGCCCTACTGGAGGGCTGACCCGGCTGGGGTGGACGCGGACTGCGGCGCGGGCCGGCGGCGGGGGCGCGCAGCAGAGGGGGGAGCCCCAGGCTGCGAACAGTCAAACAAAGGCGCACTTGCGGCCCTGGCTGCTGTCTGCCCCCCGCAGTCTCTGGGGCCGTCTGTCTGTGTGCTGACACCCAGGCGTCCATGCGGGTGCATGTGAGCAAGGTAGACCTGAGCGCCCCATGGTGACGTGTGTGTGTGTGTGTGTGTGTGTGTGTGTGCGCGCGCGCGCGCGTGCACGTGGGCACGTGTGTGCCCCGCTAGGCACCAGCTCATGAACATATCGGGGGGCACTTTTGTGCCTTCGTGTGTGTATGTGTGTGTGTGTGTGTGTGTTTCTTGGCCCCCAGGGCAGAGTTCATAGGTAAGTGACGTGTGTGTCTGTGTTCACATGTGCACAGCAGGTGTCTTTATGTCTGTGTGAGCTGAAAGGAATGTCACTGAAGCTCGAGTGGGAACTGTGCTGTTCTGGAACATTTTTTACTACATACCACTTGGCTGTTGGAACTAGGAAGAGCCTTGGACATTTTCCAGTCCTGCCCTCTGTCTAAAAATGAGGAAACTGAGGCCCCACCCAAGAGGACAGCAGCTAAGCTTGCTAACCATCTACTCTGTGCTGTGTCCATCGTCCCATCCTCCCAGCCTAGGAGGAAAACAAACGTGCAAGGCTGGTGTTTAAAACCAATTTGCCCAACCTGGACGTCAACATCAGGGGTTTCCCCAGGGTGATGGGGGCCCATCTGCCTTGACAACTTTTCAGGGTATCATGAAATCAAAATAATTTTCTTAGTAATAGTAAAACATTTTCTCTTTTCACTTCCAGGCTCATGCAAAATACCTGAAAATTTCCAGAAACTATATGATATATTATCTAGTAAGCCAGAATAGAGATTTGCAAAAATGTAAAATAACAACACTCTTCTATTTTTTTGCTTTGTTTTCTTTTAAAAGTGTGCTATTTGTGTCATAATGGGTTAATTATAATGGGCTATTTTAAATAAATATCTTTAGACTTTCAAAATGATAAACAGCACTAGATATGAGCCACTAATAGTTCTTTAGGGTCCTCAATACCTTTAAGAGTCCTGAAGCCCAAAAGTTGGAGAACTCCCTCTCTGTTTGCATAGGGGTGAAGACGGCATATGTAGCTATCCTCACTGCAGCAGGAGTTAGAGCCCACCATCACCAGCAGTAAATTTCAGTAGATCTGCCTATTCGGCTCCCCAACTCTGTCTCCATTGAACCCTCTCACCCCACCCCCTTACTCTGGCCCAGTCCTTGTATTCCTAAATAAGTAAATCTTTAAAAAAAAAAAAAGTTCAAGAACTCCATTCTATGTTGCCTCCCTGGGCTCAGTATGTGACTGTCCGGAGAGTTCACAGGCACAGGACAAGAGGAGCCTACAGTCGGGGACTGGGCTCCCAGTTCAGTGCTCTTTCCACATCAGTCCAGGGAACTGAGATCACTGGGTTTAAGATGCCACCCTAGGCTCTCCCTGGTGGCACAGTGGGTTAAAGCACAGCACTGCAAGCTAGCAGCCATTCAGTGTGAGTTTGATCCTCAGCCCCAGAGGTGACCCACATGGCACAGTACACTGCCCCCACCCCCCAGCAATGTACTTTGTCAACCTGCCTGTTCTGCTCCCCACTCATGTCTGGTGAGTCCTTCCCCCACCACCTCTGGCCTGGACCCCCGTTCTGTATGCATAAATAAATAAACCTTAAAAAAAAAAGCCACCCCAGCTGTTCCCAGCCTCTGTCAGCAAGGGATTCTCTGATCAGAGCTTAAGTCCGTGTTCCCCAGCCAGGGATGCCCCTTGGACACCCACTAACCACTCCACCCATCCAGCTGCCTGTGCTGCCCTCCCCCTGCTAGTTTGTGGAAGAGAAGCAACAGGGGTGGAGGGTGACCAGGGCAGCTGGACAGCCGTCCCCACCCGTCCCTGGCACGGTTCTGCTCAGCACACAAAGGGCAGCGTGAAGCTCGTCCCATCCCCTGCAGCTGAGGGACTAGAAGGAGAAAGGGGGGGGGGAGGCACACGTGGCAGGGGTGGTGACCCTGGGGGCTCCATCCCTCCTTCCCAGAGGGGGTTAAGTCAGAGGCAGACAAAAGGGGCGAGCCTGGGTCCTATTCTTCACTGGTGGAAAGGGGTGCCCTGGAGGGTGAAGCGGGAGATGCTTGTCATCGCATTCACACGGGCGTGTCACTGGCTCCCCACAACAGCTTGGGGAGCGCAGAGCACAGCAGCTAGTCCCATTTCACAGATGAGCAGTCTGGGGACAGGCTGTAATTGCATGTTGGCTGCATGCATGCTCACGCCCTGGTGTAATGAAGCCTTAGGAAATCACAGTCCCTGGCCAGTCCCAGAGTGGGCTGCTGGTCAGGGAAGAGATGGCCACAGAAAGCACCTGTGTAGCGGATGAGAAAGCAGAGCTGCGTGGCAGGTGAACGTGCGGCTGGCAGTTTTCAAAGAACGAGCAGCATGGGCTGGGGTGTAAGGTGACAGAAAAGGTTCTTGGTTCTTGCCTGGCGCTTTAGGTGGGGCTGAGTCAGGGGCATGGGAGGGCACTGAGGTGTGATCTCCATGAGAGGGAAATGGCCTAAGTAAAAGCCAAGGGTGAGAAGGCTGTGCAGAGGGCTGGGGTGAGGACAGGGACAAGGTGACAGCTCTGGGCCCAACTGGCAGTCCCTCCCGCCTCCCTCCCTCTTTCTCCAAGGTTCCTAAGACCCTGACCAGGTTGGTGCCAAATGAAACTTGAGGCTGCCCTTCCTCCCCCAACCTTCAAACTGCTAAAAATTTAAATTTAAAAAAGAAAGGAAAAAAGGCATAAAGTTGGTGAGAACTGTGGCCTCTGCACAGAAGGCTGATAGTGCACAAACGCAGAGGCCCCCTCCAACACTGGTGTTGACAGCAAGCCCCGCTCACAGTCTGCTCGGAACAACCCCCACAGCTGGACGCTGTCCCCCCAGATGCCCACAGAGACCCTGACATACTCTAAAGTTCTCCTTGGTTCTCCCACTGGCCTGCAGCCCACCTGGCTCAGGCCCAGCATCCCAGAGTCAGCCAGTCAATCCCAGCGTTGCCAGGACAACAGGGGGTGTGAGTGGGGCCCTGGGGACCGGCACTGCAGGGGGGTTGTCTGCTACATCTGGCACCTGCACAGAGCTGAGGCTGCTCACAGCTGAGAAGAGGAGTCCACCCCCCAGGGAGCCCTGTCCCCTCTGCGGAGCCTCCCAGGGCACTTGCTGCTCCACTTAGGTAAATATTTAAAGAGGCAGTTGGGGGGTGAACGGGTGGTGGGAGCAAACACTTCCTTCCCTCTCTACTTCCCTGAGCTTCTCAGGGGGCACTCAGCTCAGATGCTGGGCTGTTATGCAGCCTGGAGGCTGAGGGCCCTCCATCTGGGTAAGAGGACCTCATGGGCCCAGGGGAGGCTGCCAGGGCTGGAGAGTTAGGGGCAGCTCCTTGTTGAAGTTATGAAGGACTAGCCCCCTCCTCCCCGACACACACACACACACACACACACACACACACACACACACGTCAGGAAATGGGATGAAGTGTTGAACCATAAGGAGCATAAGAGACTCAACCTAAGAGAAAAGTGGGCTGCAAGGTGATGATTTACATGCTCATGAAGGTTTAGAGGGGACAGCCTGTGGGGACACCTGGCCCAGCCCATGGAAGGAGCCCAAGATGAAGGTTGGGTTTAGCATAACAAAGCAACAGAGGATAAAAAAAAGAGGGCAGAGGAGGGCACAAGGGCTGATTCACAGGCAAAGAGCTAGGGGCCTCTTTTGCCCACCCAGTGGGCAAGGCCAGGAATCTGCCCCCAAGAACCCTCAGCTCTCAGCTCTGGCAGTGGTCAGGAAGGTGGAGTCCGGGGTATGCTCAGGCCAAACAATGTGGACCCAGGGTCGTGGCTCCAATAAGTGCTGAATGTTTGCTGCGTAGGCTTAAACTTGCAGAGTATGCGGCACTGAAGGTTTCCATGTAAGCTTCTAGTCAGAGCACATCTGGGTAAACAAAGTCCCCGAGAGGCAGCACTGGATTTATGGAGCTCACAGCCACAATGATCCTACGGCAGCAGTTCCTGCCTCTGGGAGATGTCCCTTCCTGAGAAGAACAATGCTCTTAAACCAGAAGAGAAGGTTGCACAGATGAAGAAAATAGTCTAGAAGAAATGGACGCACCAAAATATGCAGCCCAGGGAAGAAATTCATCACAAAACAAATGCAAATATAAATATTGAGGGAGGAGGAGGAGGAGCCTCGAGCTTACAAACAGGCCCATAGCTAAGAAGGAAACACTACAGGTTAGTAATTAAGAATTTGGAACCCGAGGGACAGTTTTTGGAATTAGGAAAAAATGACTGGGGGCAAGTCTGAGGTTAGGTTCCAGATGTGTGGGAGGAGACGTGGGTAGAGTACTGAAGGAAAATCACCCTCCCAGAGAAGTGGCGGTTCTCAGACCCTCATGCTGCTGCCAAGCACCTCTCGGGGTCTACAGGCTCTGCTCCTCACCACCTTCCCGGGGCTCAGCACACCTATTGGAGCAACTGCTGTTGAGAGGTGTTGCTGCCCTGTTGGGTTGGACCCTTCGCTGCCTGTGGGACGCAGCCTGGCAGAAATGTAGGGAAAAGCCACCGAACTTCAGGGGCAGGTGCCAGCAAAACACTCGGGCTCGCCAAGAAGACACCTACAGTGAGGGGTGTAGATTGCCCAAGGGCAAGTTTGCTCAGCTCACCTTGCTCAGCTCTCTTGGGGGCCAAGAGGACTCATGTGCCAGGGCGGAGGGCCCTTAGGTGCTCTTGAGTTGGCTTATCAGGACCTCAGTTCTGGAGAGCCAGGAACAAACAGGCTTCAAAGCCAAGGGCTCGGCTGGCCACGGGGCCTCAGTCCTTCACCTCTGCCTCCTCTCCCTGCTGGTGCATATAAGACCCCAGTGGCACTTGGAAGTCCAGGAGGAGACAGCATTTGCAGCAAGATGGATGTGAGCAGCAAAGAGGTCTTGATGGAGAGCCCGCCGGTGAGCGTGATGGGGTGTGTCTGCGTGCATGTGTGTGTGAGTGTGCAAGAATGCACGTGTTATGTGTTAGACCCTGCCTCCTCCAGTCTCGCTAGGCTTGTTCCCTCATCCATATTCATGCACAAAGCTAGCCTGGGACTGTACTAAGTTAGGACAGGGATATCACCACTAAGACAGAGTGGAGAGCAGAGGTAGCAGTCAAATTCCAGCACAAAGGCCAGTGGAAAGGACCATAGAGAGCACTGAGTGGGGCTGTTAGGCCCTGAGCTGGCCCCAAAATGATATTTGAGCTGGTTCCAGAAGGGTAAGTAGGAGCACATCAGGTGGCAGATGAGTAGGGCATCACAGAAAGAGGGGAGAGTCTGTGTAAAGAGGTGGAGGTACAAGACAGCATGGATTTGGGGAGACCCGATAGGGAGGAGGCATGGCTGCAGTGCTGGAGGCTGGAAGAAAGAGCAGAAGAGCCCGGTGAAATGGGCCCTCTTGGGCCTCTCTAAGTAGACCTTAATTCTAGGCGTGTTAATTTTGTTGGAATCCAGGTCTAGTCCTCCAGGAAGCCTTCTCTGATAACCCCTGCTCCCCTCCAATTCAGAGCATTGCTCAGCTCCAGGAGTTTGGGAAGGGTGGCCAGCTCATCCATGGAGAAGAGTGGGCATCCCTATGACCTCACACCTGTCTTCTCTCCTCCCCGCCATGTCAGGACTACTCAGCGGCACCCCGGGGCCGGTTTGGCATCCCCTGCTGCCCCCTGCACCTGAAACGCCTTCTCATCGTGGTGGTGGTGGTCGTCCTGATCGTTGTGGTGGTTGTAGGGGCCCTGCTCATGGGGCTTCACATGAGCCAGAAGCACACTGAGATGGTGAGCAGACCTGGAATGATGGCCAGTGGGTGAGGCATGCCAGACAGAGGAGTTAGGCAGCGGGAGGAACTGGGTGGCACATTCAGCCTGGGCTTCTCCACCAGTCGCTCAGCCTCTCACACAATTTCAGTAGGGAGGACTGAGGCAGGCAGACACTCAAGGGATGAGTGGGGAGGGCGAACGCAGGCAGCACAATGCCCCCCATACCCAGGTCCTCGAGATGAGCATTGGTGGGCCGGAAGCCCAGCAACGCCTGGCCCTGAGTGAGCGCCTGGGTACCACGGCCACATTCTCCATCGGCTCCACTGGCATCGCAGTCTACGACTACCAAAGGGTGGGTATGCCTGGACCGCTCCACCCTGGGGCTCTGGGGTCAATGGCAAGAACTTGTTAGACCCACCCAGCGGTGCCACTTCATGCCAGCCATCTCCCCCACCCCCAGCCCTTTTGCCTTCCTGGGGTATGCCTGAGCCCCAGCTCCCAATATTACTCTTCTGTGCCCATCCAAGAGGGAGGGAACCCAGACGAGGGTTAAGGTGTGAGCAAGGCGAGGCCTTTCTGAATAAACTCTGGCATCCCCATGCCCAGCTCCTGATCGCCTACAAACCAGCCCCGGGAACCTACTGCTACATCATGAAGATGGCTCCGGAGAACATCCCCAGTCTTGAGGCTCTCATCAGAAAATTCCAAAACTTCCAGGTGGGTGAGGAGAAGGCTGTCTCCCTCCCAAATAACATCTGAAATGAGAGCTATTTGCCACCTGTGAAGAGCTGGTCCCCTGGTCTCTAGGTGACAGCCCCTGTCTAGACTCACCTGTACCTCACATTCCCCACAACCCCACCACTGCGCAGGCTGTTGGGCCTCAACACCAGCTAGGGTCTTCTACTCTAGCACAGGCCCCTCTTTACTGGTAAGGAAACTGAGGCTCAGAGAGACTGCCTGACCCCTAAGGCCTTGCCATGAGGGCAAAGGCTCCCAGGTTCCAAATCCAGTCTCCTTTTCAGACCAAGCCTGAAGGGCATACCTTGAAGCTAGGCCAGGAGGAGGGCAGTGACCCAAGCTCAGAGTCCTCCAGGGACCTGGCCTTCCTGGGCACCACCGTGAACACCCTGTGTGGAGAGGTGCCCCTATACTACATCTAGGATCCATCAGGTGAGTGGCGACCCCAGAGGGCTTGAGCTGTCTGGCCAGCCACCCTGTCAGCTGAGCAGACACAAGGAAGACATGGAGGCCTGTCACCTGCACTCACTGGAGGGGGCCGTTCTTCTCCCTCACCTATCAGTAATGGTGTTCCTTGGCTTCACAGGGCCCGTGGAAACCCCAAAGGAGACAGGAAAGACCGGGAGTGAAGGGTCTTTTGCAGACAGGCAGGAAGTTACCTCTGCCCAAGCCACAGGGACTGATGTGGGAGATGTGGGAGCTGAGGGGAGGATGGAGGGGTGAGGAGGGGTGGGTCTTATGGGCCAGGGACTCCTACCACAAAAGAATAAAGCAGCCTGATTGAAAGACAGTGGGTCTGCCTCTTCCTCTCTCACCCCTTCGTCCCGCGCTCGGCGGGGCCTTGCGGGAGCAAGGGGAGCTCCCACTGCGTCCCGGCGGGATGCGGGATAGGGGGCAGCAGGAGGGGACTGAGGAGCAATCTGCGGACTTCTGGCGCCCCCCAGCGGCGCCTCCCCAGAAGGGAGC